CTTCAACTAAAATCGTGACTTTGTCCCTAAATCAATGACTAGGCGATGACTGGTTTTTTGGGTCCAAAAAATATGAAGTGACAAGTTGGTTATTAATTTCATAATTATTAATTTATATTGTGAGATTTTAGGATTTAGGGTCTATGATGTACATCCTTTTAGGGGTGTACCATATACACTTCACCATAAAAATATATAATTTTATCACAAAATTTTGAAACATGAACTACAAAATGCGTAACCTTGTTATAAATTCACTTAATAAGTTTAAAATTTTGTGATTGATGTTATAAAAATTTGTAACTTGGTTATGATATTTTTTGTTACGCCAATTTTTGATAAAGTTGTGCATTTTGTGATTAATGTTATAAAATTTGATAAAATTACATATATTTTTATGGTAGGATGGGGTGCACTCCATAGCATTTCTCAAGTTTTGAAATACACCAAAGTAAAATTTTATCCCCCCCAAAAAAAATGAGGGAAAATTACATAACGGTTACTTTTATGAAAATAATTATAAATTAGTGAAAAACATATCAATATTAATAAATAAAATCACAAGTTTTTCAATATTTTGTAATTATTTTTTTGACATTCTACTGCTTTGTAATTTAAAAAAAAATTATAAAATTTTGACTTCTTTTTTTCTCTTTTCTAGATTTTTTAAAATTTTCTTTTTTAGAACCATTTATTTGAAAAGGATTTAAAATGTCAAGAAATTTGACAAATATAAAAATAAATCAAACTAGAAATGGTAATTAAAAAAATCAATTTAACAGCAACCCTTGTTTTTGAAATTTCAGCAAACAAATGAAAAAGTGATGCAGATGGAATAAAAATTTGAGACAAAATCTGAGGGTCCTCTCAGTAAGGTAGAAGAAGATGGTTAAAAAAATGAATGAGGTTGATAATGGAGTAGAAACTTTCTTTTGATGTGATATCTTTGGCTGCATAGAGTTAACTTAAGAGTGGCAATAATAGCAACTAGACAAACACAACTACATACAATTATGAAAATATTCTCTTTATGAGTATTCGGAAATAGTTAGTTTTTAATTTGTATTTTTATATTTTTAGTGATTTTTAAAAATATTTTAATTATTATATTTTATTTTTTAGATTCACTTAATCTTACTATACTTATAAAATGTGTGCACTTTTTTTTTTTAAAAATATTGAATACAATAAAATACGAAAATGTATTGAATTTATATATATATATATATATATTTAAATTTGGTGATTTTTTTTATAAAAAATTCACAAATATAATAATTTTTTAGTGTATCCTTTTTTTTTTTGTAAAATATTAAAAAATTATTAAAAATAAAAATACGAAAATAAAAAATTCAATTTTTAGAAAAACAGAAATAACCAAACATGGTGAATCACCTTATAATAGCAACCCAGGTTTATTAGGACACAGTCCCAAAATCCTTAATTGATCAAGCTAACAAATGAAAAAAAAAATGACTATTTTGAATATTAGAGACTTAAAATAAACATATCAGAACAAACACAACCGAAATAAAAAAATTTGAATAATGTTTTAGAGCACTAAATTAGGAGCTCTAAAGCATCACTAATGATGTGGCACAGTGGCCCCCACCAAAGTGATGTGATGTTTTGGCTTGAGTTTGTTTTTTTTTTTTTTAAGCTCATTAGAGCTATTAGTGGTCCAAAAATTAGTGGGATGAATCACCACTCAAAAAAATTTTTTGGACAAAGTAATTTGCAAATAAAACTTTCTTAAAAATGATCACAAAATTGAAAGTATAAATGAAGGAATCTGTCCAATAAAGCCATAATTTAGTCACAATAAAACAGTGAATCTTGATCGTTAGATCATTTTCAATTAGAATAATGCTTGGGACCCCCTTTTAGGGGTCACCCCCTCAACCCCCTTTGCCACGTGGCGGGTGATGATTGGAGGAGCAGGAAAAAAAAGAAAAAGAAAAAGAAAAAGTAACCAATGAGAGAGAGATGGGGTCAAAGGGGGTGAGGGAAAAAGGGGGGATGAATCATTGTTGTTTCAATTAAACATGAATCTTTCAATACTAATCCATCAACATAAAACTAAATACTTATTTATCGTTTTGTCATCCTATCATACAAATGAGCAAAAAATACCATGTTCATCAAAGATTAAATTTGTTTAAAGCCTCGTTTGGCATGCGAGTATTGTAGTTTAAAAGTTATTAAAAAAATAAAAAAATTTATAACTTATATTAAAAAGTCAAAAATTATATTTTCTCTCTATTTTTTGCACATCTTTTAATAAAAGATTAAAAAATTATTTCAAATATATTAATTTTTTTATGACAGACAAGACTTCCCTCCGATAATTACTTTGACAGTGCATACAATAAAATAATAACGGCTGAGAGTATTAATTTGAGAGTTTTAATATAATTTTAATGATGTGGAGAGTACTCATGTGAATGTGGAGCCCATATTTCTTTCTCTATCTCTCTCTAGAGTCCCATTAGTAAAAAAACTTCCCATTATGAAAAAGAGAGAGGTAACAAATAGCATAACAAATAGCATTAGACTATTCTACCTCACTAGAGTTCTATTTAAAACTCTCAAATTAAAATTATGTATCATTAGTTTTATAGTGAAGTTGATTCTTGCATAACAAATAGCATTAGACTATTATGCTATCATTTTAATGTCTCTAATTTTTTTAGACTTAAAAGCAAAAATTTTATTGTAAAATAAAATTTGGAAGTAATTTCTGTTGTTGTGAGATTAATCATTAAAATATTGTCTCGAAAAGTCATAAAGACAATAAAATTTTGAAAATCTCGACAAAATAATTCGGTCTCAAAAGAGTTTATTTTTTTAAATAAAAATTTTGGTTCAAAATAATAGTAATTCATCACTAAATATCCAGTTTCATCACTAAAAATGCAATAATAACAGTTTTGGTAATAAAAATATTTTGACCCCTTTTTTGAATTTTTATCAAAAAACATGTAAAAAGTAAAGACAATAGGAAGGAATCTTAGAATTTTTTATATGACTTTTTGATATTTTAAATTTTTTTTAACTAAAATAATATCATCTCAAACGGACTCTAAAGAAATAAAAAAGTTTTAATAAAAAATATCCTCCCCATCGAAAGGTCTACAGGGGAAAAAATTTATGTCCAAAAGGCCTACAAAATAAAAACTTTTTGTCCATAGATATTTACAATAAAGGCTGATTAATAACTTCTTTTCTAAAGGATAAAAAAAAGTAAATAATAAATTCTTTACAACCAAAATAAAACTGATGAGGACACTATCTCATATCATCTATGAGGAGCTCCCACTTTCATCTTATAAACGTACTGGTTCCTTTCATTTTGTACAAGGCCTTTTCTCCTGAGGAGGAACTCACCTGCAAATATTATCCGTTTTGGTCGGAGCTTTACGGTTTTGTTCCTCCTCGGGAGAAAAGGCATCGTACAAGGTGGAGGGGACCAGTAAGCTTATAAGGTGGAAGTGGGAGTCCCTCCCAGGCGATGTGAGACAGTGTCCTCATCATAACTTAACAAATTATAAATTATGATTTTAGTCAAAAATTGTTAATTTATTTGGTGCAGCTGTTGAATTATACATTTAAGTTGCTGAATAATATTTAATAAATAAGTTGTGAAATAATTTTTTGATGTCTAATAGATGTCATTTTTACCCTGTTAACAGTAAATTTAATTAATATTTGTTAATTATAAATTGAATTAACATTTTTTTTTGTTATTAATTACTAGTCCACATTTACCATGAATATATATATATATATATAGTCCAGAATCTATACTTTGGTCTTTTTCTATTTTCAAGAACAAACAAACAAACAAACAAACAAAAAATCATTTTCTAAGGGTGTAATTGTAAATTAATATATTCACTGCCAAAAAAAAAAAAAAAAGGAAAAAAAAAAAAAAAAAGAGCTGATAATTAGAAATAAGGGGCAAACAGCTTCTCAAAATCAACTTTTTTTAGTTAAAAAAAATTTTCTATAATCACAAATTGTTTAAATTAAATTAACTAATCAATTAAAAATATTTTTTTGAAAGCTAAAATTTATGAGTTGACCAAATTCATGTACATCAAACACCCCAATCACGAGTAGTAACGAATTTTATTTGCTAGTCCGACCACCCCATTCTTTCGTAACCAAATACCATAATACCATAGCTTACATATGAAATGTTCGGTGCAGTTTGTAGTTTATAATACCATTTTATTTGCGTGGCCCTATTATTACATACTTAAATATAGTTTCAAGCTAATTAAGCATTATTATTAATTGGGTAAATTATGTAAATGGTCCTTATAGTTTATATAATATATTAATTTGATTCCTATTATTTTAATTTGTTCGATTTTGTCCCTTAATTTAATGGATTGTGTCATATTGATTCAATAAATAACGGTTGTTAAGTTTGGTAGACGGAAAGTTGTTATATGGTCAAACTATGTATCAATTAGTCTTTATAGTTTACACGATGTGTCAATTTGGCCTCTATTTTTTTAATTTTCTCTATTTTGACAAGGATTAAATTGATACATTGTTTGAGTTTCCATCCACCACACTTAGCGATCGTTATTTATTGGACCAATATGACACAATCTGTTAAATTAACGAAAAAAATCGAGTAAATTAAAATAACAAAGACTAAATTGACGTATCGTGTAAATTACAAAAACTATTTACATAATTTATCCTTAATTTATATTGGGTAGCAAATATATCACGAGAATTTCACTTTCTATGTGGCACTGGCACACCCAAGGATCCTTTGTTCCTAAATAATTCTGTCCTTTTATCCCAAATCACTTACAATTATTGAATATGTTTTGAGATTTTTATATATTGAGATTCTTATAAGATTTAATGATTGTGAGTAATTTGAAAGAGAAGACAAAATTGTTTGAGGACAGAGGATCTTTACTGCAATGGCACCATGGGTACCATTATTTCAATTGGTGTACAATTTGATACACGTGGAAAAAAAAAATTTGTTGTAAATAAAATAATAAAATAAACTTGACGAGATTAGAGTTAATTAAAGTTGACGTGAAGGACAAGGTTCTCGACATTTCCTACCCAAAATCTCAAAATCACTAATTATTATTATTATTATTATTATTATTATTATTATTGTTATTGTTATTATTATTTTCCAATCAGATCAACAAAGATTCAGCAAAGGAATCAAACTCATCATGAACTTGGTCATCATCTTTTGCCTTGAGAAGTTGTAGATACTCCTCATAGAGCTTTTCTAGGGTGTGATCAAACATTGGTAATTGAGACTGCCATTTGATGAGGTCTGAAGACTCTGAACCATAAATGAGATCATGGTCTTGTTCTTGATCTTGATCATCACCACCAATAAGAAAGCTAACCCCATTACCATGATCATGATCACCATCCTCTTGGAGACTAGACCATGGAACATCTTCAACTTCTGTGCCAAGTACTACTCTATGATCTCCCTCAAGGCTTGAAGTAGGAGTCCAATCAAAACTACAATTTCTTGACATTGAGAAATTTCTCGAAGACTTGATCCTAATGGGCTTTGGGTTATGAGCTTTGACCTTTTCACTCACTAAAACATTGGATTTAAACTTGTTCTGCTTTTTGTTGCTATTCCTCCTCCTCTTCTTTGGTTCTTCTTGTAGGTTGGGGTCGGAATCCAATAATTTTTTGTGGGCATTGGGTTCTGTTCCTTGTCTTCTAAGCTTTTTGCTAAGATGGGTGTTCCAGTAGTTCTTGATCTCATTATCGGTTCGACCCGGTAGCCTTCCAGCGATAAGAGACCATCGGTTGCCCAAGAGGGCATGCATTTTGATAATTAGGTCATCCTCATCAGGGGTGATGTTCCCTCTCTTGATATCTGGTCTAAGATAGTTCATCCACCTTAGCCTGCAACTCTTCCCACATCTTAGCAACCCTTCAAGCACCAACAAAATTGCAAAGTTAACTTTTTTTAATCAAGTCATTGAATTAATTCTAGGTCAAACTATACTAGTAGTCTTTGTAATTTGCTTCTTTTGTTAATTTAGTCATTGTAATTCTAATTGAATCAATTCCGTCTCTTAATTATTATTATTTTTTGTGTAGGGTTAATTTAGTTTAATTGATAATATTCGTTAAAAAATTAGACAAAAATAAAGGACAAAATGGTCCATTCAAAAGGAATGAACATCAACCCTCAATAACTTTAGGGAGAGTAAATGAATTATTTTATCAATTGATTTCAATCTAATTTTTGAATAGGTGTCACCAATTAGACTAAGAAAAATGCTTGAGACCTCCATTTTTTTGGAGACCTCCACAACTTTATTTGGATTTTCACCATTGATGTATATGTGGGATCCACTCATGTATGTGTCGGGCTCACACCATCAATGGTGAAGATTTAAAGGAGGTTGTGAGGGTCTCCAAAAAATGAGAGTCTCAATCATTGTTGTTAGACTAATTGATACAATGTGAAAAATTTAAGAGTGAAATTGATATCACCAGAACTAAAATGACCAAATCGACACGAGGTAACTGCAAAAATTACATGTGTAATTTGCTATTAATTATGGAGTGATTTGGGAAGTTGGTTAAAAATTGAAAAAAAACACAAAAACAATTTGTTCGAGGAATTGTTTCTAAAAAGTATTTTTGAAAAAATTATAAAAGTAACTTCTTATAAAACATCAACCAAAAAAGCTGTTTTCAAATATGCAAAAATCATTTTTGCATAGACACGAATCCGATATGAAAACATTATCGGTATTTTTCAAAATTTTCATCGGTTTAGTTTTTAAAAACACGATCAATAAAATAAAAAACTAAGAAAAGGAAAACACAATTAAACTGAAATTATACGAGTAAACAGATATCTAGTATCACTATCTTGTTGAACTTGAAAAAGAGAAAAGCTAGCTTATAGCAAGTGATTACAGAGATACATTATTACCAGCTTTCTTAGGCAAAGATCTCCAATTGCCTTCTCCATGAGCCTGAATATACTTCGTAAGCAATGCATCTTCTCTAGCAGTCCATGGCCCTCTATGCAACCCTATCTTAGAACAACAAGGAGCCCTTCCCATTTTGTTTGTTTCTCAGGAAAGTCAGTGAATTAGAGATGGGAAGAAAAATAGGTTGATGTTTTCAGGAGAAGTGCACAAGACAATCACAACATTGTTTTCCTTTTAAAACACAATAGGATCTATTATTTAAATGGGGGTTTTTGGACACTGTTTAGTGGACAATATGATAATTATTTTTCAACAGTAACTTGTGTATATAAAACCAAGTTATCACCATGTAGGGCACACTTTTGTTTTGAAGGACATATGCAAAGTTGATTTTGCCAACTATGTTTGTGCAGCAGGTGCCTACCTACCCACTCATCTTAGTATCTACCCTTCTTCTTACATGTGTTTCTAAGAAGATGATTGAATATCGACATTTATATATTTGAAAAATATTTAATTTGTTTGGTTTTGGTTTTTAGAAAATTTATTTATTTATTTATTGTATTTATTAAAATTTTTTAATATTTTAAGTATTTTTTTTAATTTTTAGACACACATAGCATAAATACACTTAAAAAGTATAATATTTGTGAAAAAATCTTTAAAAAATTTACCAAATACAAAAAATACAAATTTTTTTTTTTGAAAACTTAGTATATTTTTCATATTTTTGTATATTTATTAATTTTTTAAAATATTTTTTTACAAATATTTTACTATTTAGATACATTTAAGTAATGTGCATCTAAAAAAGTAAAAAAAAAATGCTCAAAATTTTAAAAATATTCACTAAAAATAAAAAAAAATATGAGAAACAAAAAACTCAATTTCCAAAAAACTGAACTCAGAAAACTAAAACCAAACACACTGATTTGTTTTAAAAAAATGGACGAAAAATATAATTTCAAGAATAATCATCTATTTTTTAAAATATAAATTTGATTCAAACATATAATTGCCGATATCCGATAATCTTATTTTTTGCGTGAATATTCTACTTAACGAGTCCTAAAATATAAACGGTTCAGATCATCAAAACGAAACATGTGGTGAGACCTATGTGCCCCTCAATTTCTCTCATGTTGAGATATGAACATGAGAGAAGCCTGACAGAAATGTATTTTTCTTTATTCATCCTCTGTTTTCATACCATTAATTTTTTTTTTGATCAACGAAAAAAGAAAACTTTATTGATGAAATTAATGCATTAGCATCGACACTTAGTTTCACAAAAAGAGAGATCGACATAATTATATTGTGTGGGAGAGAAATATTTGTCTCGTTCCGTACTTCCTTACTACCAAGTTACTTGCACTCCACTAGAACCTTGTCGTACTGCAAACAAAGCAAAGATGAGCTACTCGGCGGGTGGGTTTGCCGGAAAATCCCTCTGACGGTCAAGTTTGTTTCCTGGAGAAGAGATAAGACAAGAACACTGTAGAGAGAGAAAGAGTTTGAATTTGCATACCTCTCACATTTGCATGCTCCTTATTTTCAAGGCTGGCCATGCAGTCTCAAAGATTGTGGGCGCATTACCTCTGTTATCCTTCTCTGGACAGATGACTATGCTTCCCTATACATTCCTTACACGTGTAGAGACTAAAACCTCCAAACAGTGTTTGTCGCACCGCCAAACGGTATTGACGCATACTAGGAGTGGGTTTCTCTCTTTTCTTTATTAGGCCACGTGGAATACTGGACCGCGCTATTGCTTGTGCTATACTAGGGGCACTCCTTTTTGTCAATCCAAACGCTGATCTAAGATAAGTTGGCCAACGAATCGGTGCTGCGTTGGGTCAGCAGATATGTGCATTGCCCCTAGACTGGTCGATCATGGGCGCGCAGCGAGTCATCACGGCCAAATAGTGCGGCCACGGCACCCAACCGACCTTGTGACGTTGCCATGACCTCTCCAATCGCGGTACCCAAATGTGATCCGAGCAGAGTTATAGATCCTTGCTATGTTTGCAAGGTCCGTTGTCGTGACTCGGCCCACTGGCACAATTCCGCCACGCGGCGTCCTAGGCTCTCGTGACAATGCCCAACACCGTATTCTGTGTTGGTGTAGCTTGGCCTACTGTTCGGCACAAATTTCCCTCTCGTATATCAAAATTATAGAATTTACTGTATTTTCACTAAACCTTATGGGAGGTTATTGTGATTTATCCTAAAAATTATTCATATTCTATCAAAGTGCATGATGCTGCGGTTGAGTTTTTGCTTTAGGAGCTGCTTCGGTTGGTCATCAGTTTGTCCTCTTGTGTTTCAACATTGCCGTAATAGCCGATTCTTCAAGGGCAGCCAGGGATTTCATTCGAGCGCTTTTGGCGAGTAGGAGTTTGAGGGGTGCGTTTTTGGACGGAAACAAGGGTATTGTAGGTGATACAGTTCTGTTCGGTTGGCACTCGTGCGCTCCTCCTTGAGGGAGAGTTTGAGGGGTGAAGTTGGGTGTTGTTTTTGTGGAGTTTGGCAGTGGGTGTTGGTCTGTGGAGTTTGGCAGCAGAGGCAAATGTGTGGGTTTTGGGTGTGAGCGAGAAGAAGGCCTGGGGGGTGGGTTTCGGCAGTGGGTGTTCCCGGGCAGTGGGTGTTGCAGCAGGGGTGTTTTTCTGTCGGCAGTGGGTGTTCCCGGGCAGTGGGTGTTGCAGCAGGGGTTTTTTTCTGTCGGCAGTGGGTGTATTCGGCAGTGACTGGTGTTCCCGGCAGTGGGTGTTGCAGCAGGGGTGTTTTCTGTCGGTGAATTCGGCAGTGGATGTGTTCGGCAGTGTTCCCGGCAGTGGCTATGGTGTCTCCTCGGCAGAGGCGTGCCTAGAGGTGGCGTGGACAGCAGCTTCGAGTGGGTGGCTGAAGTGCAGAGGTATTGTTTCTTGCAGCAGAGGCGTGCTGGGTCAGGTCACGCAGCAGAGGCGTGTTGGGAGTTGTAGCTGCAGAGGAGTGGTTTAGTGTTGTTAGCTTATTTTGGGTGATGGGTTAGTTCATTTAGTTAGTCATGGGTGTTTTTGGTGGGTTGAGTATGTGGGGATTCTTGTATTTTAAATTCTCTAGTTAAGTTCTTCTTAACTTTTTTGGTTAAAAAAAAAAAATCGAGAGGCTTAGGGGTTGGTTGTATGGATGCGAGTAGCAGTAGTAGGGGTATTTTTATACTTCCGAATCTCTCTCAATGCATGTCATCTTCCTGTACTTTTAATTTCATGCTGTTTAATGAAATTTTTCTTTGCTGATCAAAAAAAAAAAAGTGCGTGATGTAAAGAATATATTGTAAACATTTCGGTCATAAAAATATATGAACAATCTTATGATGATTAAAATTTTGGCACGAAATTTTATCTCAAAGTTTTTCATTTTTTTTTTTTATTTCAAAGAACTCACTGTTAATATATTTTGAAATTTTTATGCTTCAAGATTTTAAGATTTTAACATGATTCAATGATTATAAATATTTTAGAATAAAAATAGAAAAACTTTCCGAAAGTTACATATTAAATTATATATATATATATATATTAACAATAAAAGGATTTTATTGATGGAAATGGATTTTATTTATATGTTGTCATTGCATTGGTATATGAACAGTGGGAACAACTACACCAATGCGGCGATTACTTACATTATTATGTAATTTTTGGTGAAATCTTAATAATATTACAATGATTATATTTTTATATCATATTTAATTTATCATATTTCATATCTCATCAATGCTTTGGCAACAATCATAAATAGTAAAAATGATTAAACCAATTCAATAATAACACAGGAACAATAAACTAAATATAATATAAAAATAGGTAAATTACAAATACACCCCGTGAGTTTTGATTAAAATACAAATCACCCCCTGTAATTCTGAAAATTACATTTCACTCTTGAGATTTCTAATTTCGTAACAAATTGCCTATTTTATTAATAAATCATCAAGTCAATTAACAGTTTTTAAAGATGTTATAAATATGTTTTAATTAATAATATAGGTAATTTTATTATTGTATATGACATCAATTATAAATTTTTTTTTTTAGTTAATTCTGTTAAACAATTTTTTTTAACAATAGTTTATTTGTAATTTATCCAATAAAAATATATTAAACATAACATTATTAATAAAAAAAAATTCTATCATCATAACATTACTCGTACACACATAAACAAATCTAAGTGTGAGTATCATATAACCAAGTCCGAACCAATTGTGTGGGAAAGCACCATTAAGGTTTGAGAATGTCAAATTTTTGTAATCATGGCCGTTATATAGTATTAAATATTTCACCCAATTTTTTGATTTCCAAAATATAGAATCATCACCATCAGGTGCGAAACTTTGTTTGGGTATAAACTCTTATAATTTTAAAATTTTTAATATAATATTGAATGTTTTTCAAATTTTTGGGAGTGCGGTCGCCTCCATCCGCACCCCCTAGCTTGGTAGGCTATTTTTTCATTGATTTTCGTGAACCGAACCGTTTATTTTTTTCGAACTCATTACGTAGAATATTAATATAAAAAAAGTTGATTATATATTAGTAGTTATATATTTGAATCAAATTTGTATTACGAAAAATGAATAGCTATTTTTAAAATTATATTTCTCGTTCATTTTTTAAAAATAAATATGATTCAAACGTATTTATCGATGTTCAATCATATTGATTTTTTATATGAATATTTTGCTCAATGAGTTCGAAAAGCTCGAAAGTTCGGATCACTAAAATTGATTTCAAAATGAGTCTATCAAGTGCAAACGCTCTCTTATGTTAAGATGATAACTCGAGAGAAATCAAATCAATTAATAAAAGCATTTCTCAATTTTTTGAGAGTTAACACAATAGTACAAACTTCTGTGGAACCAAAAAAGCAGAGATTGATTAGGATTAATGAGAAGCAAAACAAAAACAAAAACAAAAATAAGAAATAGAAGATCAAATACACAATAACACAAAAGGTTTTCTATTGTGATTTTTACTATGATCTAAAATTTAGATGATACAGGAATAGCCATTTCCTCCTAATTATAAATACATTGAAATTAAAGCAACAAAACACAAATTCAAAAAACTAAAATATCCTTACTCTAAAATTTAGGATTCATGCTGTGGATTGGTCAATTATCAATAGTTGTCAACATCCACCCCACTCCAACATTCACAACTAACTTATTAGCTTAAAAAACTCATTTTACTAAAAACAAAAAAATAAAAAATAAAAATTGTCAACTCATTTCGAGGCAAAAAGTTAAAATTACTCAAA